GCCCGTCGATAACGACGTACGGGAAAACCGTCCGTTCGACGAACCTTACACACAAATACTAATACATATATAATACAATCTACAATATTTCCACACAATGATCACAGGATTTAACTATATTTTCTATTTGTTCATCTATTTTGGGCCACCAAACATACGATCTCGCAACTGCCTACATTTTGACTACCCCAAGATGTGTGCTATGTAATTCGTCTAGAATACTTTTATGTGATTTATTTGGTATTACTACCCTATACCCTAACATCAAATACCCTTGCTCAACAGATAAATCGGTCTGTCTGTCCTTGTATGGTTTTAGATCATCACTAAACAAATTAGGCCATCCATGGGTCACATAATAATAAACTTTACTAATAATTTTATCTCTATTAGTTTGTAATTTGATTGCATTATGGTTTATCGGAAAATATTCAAATTCAATAAATGAAATATATGTGCTTTGCGGTTCACTGTCTATCGACATAACATTTTCCTTTATAGGTAACCTCGAAAGTAAATCTGACGTGTAATTATCGTTCCCTTTAATTTGCGTTCTAGTTTATACTGAAAACCCGCCAAGAAAACTGCCCATCTCTGAAATCTTGCTGAAGTCATAGTTGGTATATTTTTGTCTTCGCCTAAAATCCCAATGAGTGGTTAATGATCAGTTCTGATAGTGAATCTTTGGTATTGGAGATATTGAAATAATTTCTTAACCGACCAATAAATTGCTAAAGCCTCTTTATCCGTGACAGAATAATTATTTTCCGCTGCCACAAATGTTCTCAAAATAAAACTAATCGGTCGCTCACTTCCATCTGGCATTATATGTGATAAACAACCTGCGATACCGTCATCAGTCGTCAAAATAATAAGGAAATTTGGGTTAAAATGTACTAAAACTTTATCTGAAATAACCAGTTCCTTAATTGTATCAAATGCCTTCTGACAATCCCGAGTCCAAATAAACTGATTATTTTTCGTTAATAATTTGTAAATAGGTCTCATAATAATCGAAACGTTGGGTAAGAATTTAGAATAATAATTTACCATGCCCGCAAATGATTTGACTTGTGTTACATTATGAGGCGCTGGTGCGTCTACAATCGCTTTAATTTTATTTTCGCATTTCCGTAAACCTACCGCTGAAATAATATGACCTAAATACTATAATATAGAGTATATATCATTTTTGAAAAACTCACACTTAGATAATTTAACTTTTAAACCAGCTTTGCTTAAAATTTTAAATACTTTATCCAAATTAATCAAATGGTCTGCTCTGTCTTGTCCGGTTATTATAATATCATCTAAAAAGTTAGCTACACACTCATGACCTTGAAAAAGTTCGATTAATTTTTGAAATATAGAACTAGCTGGTGAGACACCTTATGGCAATCTGTGTACTTTAAAAAGTCCTTTATGGATGCTCCAAGTTAAGATTCTCGAATATTCTTCATCTAACTCTAATTGGTTATACGCTTCACTTAGGTCAATTTTACTAAATTCTTTTCCTTAACTCACTTTTTGAAATATTTCTTCAATTCTTGGTAATGAATATTTTACCTCCCGAACAAACATATTTACCGTAACTTTATAATCTGCACATATTCTAATTTTTCCATCACCCTTTAAAATTACACCTAACTTCTCCAATCTACATAACTGCTCTTCCACCCGTTTTTTATATGCGAAAGGAATTTGTCTTGGCTTATGAAAAATAGGGGTAGCGTTGTCCTTCAACCTAGTTTTGAATTTTTCATATATATATTTACCCATACCGTCGCTAAACAATTTTGAATATTTATTTTTTAATTGTTCGAAATTGTCTAACATGTTGATATTAGTTAATTTTATGTTAAATTTTACCATAAAATCTCTACCTAATAAATTCGGCCCTCCTTTTTCCACCACATAAATTTTTAAAATCTTCGAAAGTTTTATCTTTGAAATTAATGTTTGCAAAAAAAAAAACCCAATATATTTATTTTTTCCCCAGTATAACCATTTACATTTTTAAAAACTTTATTTAAAATCGTATTTTTATCAAATAATTCGTAAAAAGTTTTTTCCGAAATAATTGTTAAACCTGAACCTGAATCTAACTGTGCCTTTAATTTTATATCATTTATTTTTACGTCTAACATAATAGGTTTTGAATCGTTCGTTTCTATGTTCAAGATTAAGCTCTCAAACGTATTCTCCTCTACTTTCTCGATATTTAAAAAATTCGTACTTTTAGACTTATTACACATTACTGCTAAATGTCCTATTGAACTACAAAGATTACAATGATAATTTTTATATTTACAATTTTGAATACCCGTGTGCCTTTTACCGCAAACTCGACATTGATTGACCTTTGGTACAGTGCTGACTCCTTGATCCTTGCCCTTTAAATATTTACTGCTACTTGTTGATTGAAAATGCCCTTGTATCCGCGCTCCTTGGTCCCATGCATTTTTTTTATTTCGAACTTCGTGATCCCTGTGACTCAAACCCGTGTTTTTGAACTCTGCCGACGACATGTATTGTTTTTTATGAAAATGTCCTTTTTTGTTTCTAATCCAGTTGACTTGGACTGTTTCGTTGACTATGTAAGTTTCTTTTGCAAGTGCAATCTCGACAATTTGAGAAAAAGTTGTTTCTTATGTTGGTTTTTCCTCACAAATCCTGTCCTTGATTTTGCCCGATTTTAATCCGAATACAAATTTATCGATTAAAATGCTTTCAAGGTTGACACCAAAACTGCAATTTGCTGATAGGTTTCTAAATCTTGCCGTGAAATCCGCAATTAATTCGCTCTCCTGTTGACTAGCCGCATAAAAATGATTTCGCTCCCGGAAAATATTTATTTTCGGAGTAAAATGATTTTCCATCAACAAACACAATTCTTTAAAAGTTTTTTCTTTTGGAAGATCTGGTGTGCACAAATCCCTTAGCAATTTATATGCGTCTTGACCAATACAACTTAAAAATGCAGATTTTCTTAAATCATTTTTAATTTTATTTACCTCAAGAAATTGTTCCAACTGTTCTTGATAAATTTTCCAACTGTCACAATCGACATTAAATTGCGTCAAACTATCCAAATATGATGTCATTCTTTAATCAATTTTTATCTTCGTCGCCAATGTAATGTTTGTATGTTGTACGCTGAGCCACCATGCTTGAACACGGAAGAATACGTATTAAACACGATACAATATTTCTAATTGCCCGGGTCAACCGTGGTGCGAGCTTGATACAAGATAAAGAACATAATAATAATAATATAATAAATGCACAAGTTACATTATTGGTATCAATTTTAATCTGAAACCATTTTTTAAAATATAGGTTAATACATATAATTAACAACAAAAGTGAGCTATTTATTTATAAAAAAATATATGAAATATGTACCATATTCATCAATGACCATTGACAGTATTTTATTATAATTGATTTAATATTTTTAGAGAAAGTATCATAAATTAGTTAATTATATATTGAAAATAAAAGATTATTTATATATATATATATATATATGATTAATAATATGAAATTAGTTAAAATAAAAATAAAGATATCTCTAATGCAATAATTTTTTTAGATCTCAAACTATTGATTAAAATAAGATAAATATCTTCTATATTATGCCATGTTATACAATTTATGATATAACATAATAAACAATGACAGCCAAAACACAGGAAAATGCATAATTAAGAACAATTATTATCCAACAATATTTTTACAAACAAAACCTTCATCAACATTAAAAGCACTTATTGTAAAATTAAATATATATATGTTAATTTACTTACTCATTTCTGAAACACCGTAGACATGCAGTCACATTTATTATTTGTAATACACTTATTCACAAACATGAAGATTGATGCAACATATAAAACATAGAACACACAAAACACGTTTTCGATGACTCACGAAGAAAATCCCAAATATTCGGATGTCTTCTGTAGTAAGCCCAAGGCTAGGCGTATTTTATAATCAGCATTTAATTAATTAATATTTAATAATCAAAAATAACTTATTACGCATATTAATAAATTCGCCAAGGTCCAGTTAAATTTAATAATCAAAATAATATTTAATAGATTAAAATAGTATATGTGTAAAATAGATAATATATTAAATTCGCATATACGCAGGAAAACCAGGGTAAAGGTGAAAACAACACGTAGTTTCACGTTTTTACATAATAATGCTAAATAGAGGGCAAAATAAAGTAATATTAGAATTAGGCCACTCTTACGTCATGGGAACCTGTATAAATACGGGTTGAGCATTTAGCATTATTCAGATGTAGATAGGTAGTTAGACTGATCATTTCCCCTGTTAAATAAATTATTGCTCGTCGTGGACTTTGTTACAGCCACATCGCCGCGAGTATATAATTCTTAGCCCAGAATAACTTGTTATTTAATTTTTTTGTGTTTTAACTGTTTGTTAATTTATTGTGATAAATTAATAAAAACAGTAAGTTTATAAGTTTAATGTACCAGTGTTAAATTTATTCACCTACCTATCTCTCTCAACCCACGTCTCAAGATTTCATACAACGTGCTACGTCGTTAAATAATTAATGTGTCAGCGATCGTAGTGTTCTGCACGAAGCTCGCTACATAAGCTTGGTGTCAGGTGTGGGGTTAACCTAACCTGCACGAGATCGCTACACTTCCCATATGTACTAAAAACGTTGAATAAAAGGATTCCAGATAATTGTTAGCTACGGCCTTGGGCATATGGAGAGGGATTTCGAGATAAATTCCCTCTCAAGAACACAAAAAAGTATTATGATTTATGATAAAAATGGTGAAATCTTCTGGTAAACATACAATAATATGTCATTTAAATTCTCCCTTCATAAGAAAATTGAATGTACATCATTGAATATATACATAAATTGATTACCTTAAACCTTATTGCATTTGCAATAACCGAAATTACATTAGACACATGCCATATATTAACATTCATATTTATATTGTCAAATATGATTTAGATATTACATTAAGACACTCGCATTGCGAAGCCAACCAGTGAATGTATGGGTTGGGCCCTGCAAATGTAGATACTTTCGAAGGGGATCTTAAATGTTAAGGTTATTAGAAACCATGTCCCGTACAGACCAATATTCAGATGTGTTTTAGTCCGATCTTAGTAAACACTCACGCCAGTATAATTGTCAATTTAATTAAATACTGATAATTAGAATATTTCAATAAAAATAAATTTAACTTAGTTTGAGTATCTATATTGAAATTATCATAACAAACATCCATATATGAACTGTAGAATTGACTGCACGCAATGAATTAAAATTAACCAAATTCATTCAAATTTAATGACTTACTGAAAGACCAGAGAAACTAACCACACATAGTAAAGCAAGTTAGGTTTCATTTTACAATATGTATATGGTAATACTAGTAACGAGGAAAACATTTTTAGCTGAAGAACAACATTAAGATTTTAATGACTAGTAAATATTATGAATTTTAATATAGGAATTGCAGCAGAAATTTAAGTTAAATTAAGCCTACCTTGTAAAACTACTTATGAAATACTTAAGAAATATAACTTTAAATTAAAAAAAAACATGTGTATAATAGTCAACTTGATTTAACAATAACTATTTGTACATATTACAAGGTAAAAAAAACAATAATAAAATTAGTTTACAATATATAAAAACAATAATTGTAATATTTTATTATATATTAGGATATGGCCAGATTTGTCGTTGAACATAACCATCATTACGGTAATCAGTTTTCCTCACAAACATCAATAAGTCACCGTCTTGATTCAGCTGCTGTACACATTCTCTTATCATTATAGATGTATTTTCCCTCTCTTTTTTGGACATTTAATTTCTAACCTAGTAAAGTACATACAATTTACAGAAATGAACCATAATTGAAACCCAAAAAACTAATTATATGTATATATAAAAAAAAAAAATCAAATTATTACTTTAAAGCTATCTCTACATTGTTGAAATTCTATAAAGAACTGATTCTCAACAACAATCAGCTTTTCTGTTGAAAAAAATTAAAATATTAGTTAGTAGTATATTTTAGGGTTAACAATTAAAAAACATTTTATTATCATGTATGACTAACATACAATTAATTAAGCATACATATTAGACATACAATTAAGATTTATAACAATACATTCATAAACAATGAGTACTAGTGTTTGAAGTAAAAATTATTAAAACTTCTCTACACCAGATTAAGCATGTCAAGGTAATAGCACAGTTAAAGCAAATACAGAAAATATTAAATAAAAATAAATTATATATAATATTATATCCAAAATAAAATATCTAAAATACATATTAGTTTATCTGGCAGGTATTATAATAAAATGTTATTTACCTTTGTATAATGGAACCAACATACTAATTGACTATTTGGAATTACTTCCCTGATAACATTCATAAGAGCACGTTCATAATTAGTGACAAAACGTATTCCATTATAAAAAAGAGGTAAAATATTGCGTATTACTTTATTATTATTTACTATTTAATTTTTAGTAGTAAAGTAAAGTATTTAATTTATTATTATTATACATTATTAACAGTAGTTAATAATGTAGAGTAAGTTTCTTGTGTTTCACTCCCCAAAAGGGCATAGACCATTGGAAATGCCTAAATGAAAAATAAAACGTATTAAATCATGTCATAACTGTATATTAACAGTATTATAACCAGAAGGTATTGCTTACAACATACATCTTTGTAGAGTACTTGGAATGTTGGGAAAGATCGTAAGTCCCCTGACACTTGAGGAACAGTTTTATATGTGGCATCTACTCCAACCAGCTCTACTGAAGCTAACTCTTCACGATAACTATGGATCGCATCAATGTTGCCAAAAACAACTGCTACATTAATTTCATTCACAATCAGTTCTTGTTGAAAAAATGTTGAGGGTATAATTTGAAATGTGGATGGTTTGCGGTGTTTTTGGTCTCTGCAACCTTTTCATCATTTTCAACCTTTCTGAGGACTGAATGCACGTATACTTTGTGGCTGCTTCTTAGTGTCTACCAAAATTACAGTTCAATTACAAATTACAATTTAAAGAACACTGTTAGTCAGTTGTTAGCAAATAAATATATTAATAATAAAATAATGATTTTAATAGTATTATAAAACATAACAAAAATTAAATTAATCTAATCATAGAAAATTGTCCTAAATTTTGACTTTGTATAAAAACATGCTACAAGAAAAAATTAATAAAATTTAATATCTTTAAATCCTAACATATCTAGTAAAAAAGAAGCGAATTAAAATAATTAGTTTCATTTGAGTTATAATTTTATAACTCTGACATTGTATACACATAACAATGATTATACAATAAAAGTAAACTTACCTAATTATTTCACTATTATAAATGCTTAGAATTGACGATGTTGTATTGTATGATCAAGACTTCTTTAACTGATTGCATCCCTCAAGAATGATACATATAAGTCAAAACTAAGTAATTATTATTATTAGATTATTATTAAATATAATCGCTGAAAGTTTTTTCATGAAATAATCGCAGGTGATAGTCTTAAACAATAACCAATATGATAATGATTTATAATTTTAAAATGTAATCAGTAAACCGTTAAATACATAAAATACATAAACACAGTATAGCCTAATTCTTTGGCGTTAAATTCCTGGCAGTAAAAATTTTGATTCCGAACAGTTGGTGTTTCATGATAAAATGTTTTCTTATCATTTTTATCTCTTATCAATGAGGAGAACTGACCCAAGCCCAATCCCTTCCTGTTTTCCTACAGTGTCACCACCAAACACAGAATATTCATATTGTGTATTACAAATTAAAAATTATTCTGTACAACGCGCTTCACTGCAGTGAATATTTTTATGGTTATGGGAAATAAAAGTTCAGACCTAATGATTAACACAGGTTGAATTTGTAATATTCACTTATCACGTATTTGTATATGAATTATAATTTTCAAATTGTTAGATTAATTGATCTAAACTGTGATTTTTAATCAAAACTATTTATGATACGTAAAAAATTCACAATTGTTATATAAGTTAATGACTAACGTTTAGCAATGTCACCCTTATCTAAATTAGAACTTAACAATCAGGTAATTCTTCCAAATAGTTTTAAAAATTATTTATACTTCACAAACTTTTTCAAATTATAAAATTTACTTAGTTAATTCGTGATCAATATACAAAAAAAATTTTTTTACATTTTTTCTTATTTTTTAATATTATAATGTTTATTTTAGATTGTTTCCATGCGTCATATTGTGCGCAAGTCAAAAGTACACACAATAAATAAATTGTCAAGAGAAGCAAAAAAGTTAAAAGCAAAAAAAGGTAGTGAAGAACAAATTGTCAAAAATAAAAATAAAGCAGAACGTTTTGTTAACGAATTAATGGTTATAAAGGTACTTTTATTTTTATATTATTTTAATTATTTAATTTCACGTCATGTAAATATATTTATAGAAATTATTTTTCTTTTTTAGAAATTAAATGATGATGCTGTAACAAAATATGCTTTACAAAATGAAATACTTTCTGCTACAATATTAAATAATATAGACATAACCTTGGAAACCAGGGCACGGGCAAGATTGGCAGGACATAAGTTTATAGTAGATGCAGTTCAAAGTTTTAGAAACAAATATCCAGATTGGAAACTATGCCTAACAGATCTATTGAATGAATTAGGTTCTAAACAAAGAGCAAAAAATAAACCAAATGATAATAAAGTTGCTGAAAAGAATAAAAAAACAAGTACAAATGTTAAAGAATTTGAAGTTGCTGAGTATAATTCTGATGGATCTACAGAAAATGATGGTTATAAAACTCATTTAAATGAATCAGATATTAGTTTAGAAAAAATTCAAAGTGATCATTTGTTACATACAGAAAGTAATGATGAAAGTGAAGAGAATCAAGATACAGTTAAACCAGTTATTTCTAGTAAAACAATTGTAAAAAATAAAAGTTTAAGTAAATCTAATGAAACAACTTTACAAGTATCAAAAATAAAAGAAAAAAAATTACCCAAAATCATAGCAAATCCAGAAACAAACAAGTCTAATGATAACATAAATGGGAAACTTAATAAAAAAACATTTAAAAGAAAATCTAAACAGAATGTACCAATTAAAATTGAAAATAAGAAAAAAAGAATTATAGAAGATGAAATTAAACCAATTTGTGAAACTGTTGATTCATTTTTCATAACAGCAAATGATAAAGATTACATGTCTGTATACAAACCACTAACAGTTACAGAAAGAAAACTAGAAGACCCAAAACCTATAAAAGAAATTTTTATAAAAGAAAAAAAAGTTACTGTTGGTAAAAATAATAGCATGAGCAATCGGAAAGAAAGAAGGCAGCAAAAAGTTGAAGAACAGGTTGATACTTCATTACACCCGTCATGGGAAGCAAAACGTAAACAAAAATCATTGGCCAAGTTCGAAGGTAAGAAAATAACATTTGATGATCAAGATTAATTTACAATAATAATAATAATGTTTTATAATCTCATGTAAATAATATGAAATAAAATAATTATCAAAACAAATAATAGTGCTGTTGTTTATTACTGTAATTTTTTTTTTGTTTTAGGGCTAGAAAGTGTGACCAACTGTACTCTTTTTTTTGTAGGCTCAGAAAAATCAACAGTATTTTTTTCTTCCTTTTGTATTAATTTATCAGGGGTATTTAAAACTTCTTCATTATCTTCTTGGATGAATGATTCTTCCATTTCCATAGCATTAACTAATAATGTTTTATCCATGTATGGTTTGCCTAATTCTTCTTTGCTAAAGCTTATAATTGAACAAAACCCATCTGATGAAGACACAATGAGTAATAGTCCATCTGCAGACCTAATTAAAATAATAAATTTGTAGATAAAAAAATGGCGAACTAATTTAAATAATTACCATGACAAGTCTGTTAAACGGGTATAGTGAATATCACCAATGTATGCAAATGGAGCAGCATGTTGAGTGTCCAATAATAAAATACTTGAGTTTGTAGCAATAGCATATATCATTCTATATGGTAAATCAAATACAGATTTAGTATTTTCTTTTAGTTCAAACAAAACTGGTGAAAATTTAACTGCTACTGAGTATTGATCAAGAGATGGTACATATAGTACAGGTTTGGTAAACGATTTTCTGGCAAATACATAGCTGACATTAGTAGTAGTTTTATTTTTGTTTTGCTCATCAAATATTTCTTTGATACCAGAAGAGGTCACTAGAATTTGACCATCAGGAGAAAATGACAGACGCCGAAAAAAAGACTTTAGGGTATCATCATGGAACAATCTACTTTTGATTTCTTCACCATCACCTTTTTTCCCCAATGGAACTGACTTGTCACATTTATTGAATAATTTACAAGTTTTAGTATTAAACACTCTTAGAGTTCTACAGTTAACAATAAATAAAAAATGTTTAACTTAAAATTAGTACACAATATTGTTAAAAAAAATTTATTACTTACCTATCACTACTTAATGTAGCAGCATATTTATTCAAGGGATCCCATGAAACTCCTTGTACAAATCCTTTATGATCATTAAGTATAGCTTTATATTGTCCTAGAAATTTTAATGTTTAAAAAAAATAATCAAATTCAATAGTTAAACTATCTTACCCTTGTCAACATCCCAAATAATTGCTTTGTTATCAACACCACCAGATATAAGTCTTTTAGAATCCGGTGACCATGATATATCATAAACATCTTCAAGATGGCCTCGGAGTACACAATGGCATATCCATTTCTCAAGATTTTTTGAGTCATCGTCTTCCAACAAATCTGGACGTTGCTCTGGTCCATTTATGGATTTGAATTTCCATAAGACAATAACAGATTCTAAAAATAAAATAACAACATTACTCACATAAGTTGAATTTACAATTCAGGTTAAAAAATATGAATTAATGATTTACCGTCGTCACCGGTAGCTAACCATTGTCCGTCAGGTGAAAAACGTACAACATTTACTGCTTTTTGATGTTTGGTTAAATCTGCTGCAAACTCAACATTAACGTTCGAGCCTTCTACTTTGATTCGCCACACCTAAAACACAAATTTGTAAAACAGCAATTACCACAAGCTCGATTGACTGAGATGATTGACAAATAAATAGTTACGAAAACATGAGAATCGGAGCCACCAGAAGCTAATCGGTAATAGCCTTCCTCAGTAGTGGTCGGTTGAAAGTGAACACTGAGTACAGGGTCACGATTGTGCCAAGAGATCTCTGGAATCACTAGTTTCATGATTGTCCAAGTGAAATGTGACAATGTAGCGTAAGACTGTGTTTTCTGAAGCAGAACAATAATCCGTGTAACGATGACGGCAGGACAAATGTATTTGTTGGTGAGGACCACACGCGTCCAACGAACAATACTGAAAACAATGAATGTTAACAATGATTTAGATCAGCAGAAGTATCAACGACCCAAAACGCCAAGAGAATAAGGCGATTGACATGATTAGAGCGATTACCATCGATTAGTGATCCCGGTGTTCAGTTGTTGTAAAACAATTTTTATAGTGGCCTTGAAATTTGCCGGGAAAATTTTTATCAACACATTAATAAACATATGTTTTAGCATTGATTATAAAACTATATTCAATGATTTTAGTCATGTCATCGATTGTATTTTATAATACACTATTTTATTTAAAACTATTTTTTTTTAACTATTTGTTCTATCATCAATGGTCATGTGCATCGCATGAAAGATAAAACCTCGAACATCGGGTCGTTATGAATCATGGATACAGAATATATCCATATCATAGATACTATGATACAGTGGCGGATATAAGGGAGGCCCGAATGTCCTCGCCCCCTCCCATTTGTTTAAGTTAGATTTTATTAATTCAATAGTGTTAAGTTTGTAACGTTCAAGAATCGAAACGTAAAGTTGTGTGCGTTGCGAAAACCTAAACGCTGATTATTATTATTATATAGCTCCAACGCACAGCCGCGGTTCGCAAATAATGTTGCTGCTCGCTTCCCCCCGTTAGTACCTCATTGTTCAAATGATAAATATTACCGGCCAATCAAATTATATTTCAATAATTTTTTAAAAAAAAAAACATCGTTCGAGTCTCCGTGGACAGCTAAGCTCCGGAGAACGAGGACTTGACCCATCACTGTCCAACCACCAACACCTTCATCAGCCCAGCAGCCTCAGTGGCACTCCTGTGAACTCAGAAGATTATTGGCTGTTTTTCAGATCTCAAGATGTGTGGCTAAGGTCAATCCGTCTCCGTCGTTGAAAAATTCCTCTTCCAAACGGTAAATAATATTATGACCCTTTTTATTAATTGCCTTGGCCAGCAATATTTATTTCTTTAACTATTTTTCTTATATTAAACTCTATAACTTTATGATTATTATACTTTATTAGGTACGAAATATTGTCGATTTTTATTGACCAATATTTTCATATTTATTTTTCATATTCATTTCATATTATTATTTCACATAAATATGTTTTATGAATATTTTCATTTATTAATTATTATGTTTTTATCATCTGATTGACGTTCCTTTGTGTCGCTATGGCATTTCCCCTCAGTTGCCTATATTTTTTTATTTAAATAATTTTAGTTAGTAATTAGATTATGCCTGTTGAATATAATATATATATATATATATATATCTTTGACCGACAATCTTAAGAGAGTAAATATCGTCATGAATTTACCCTAGGTGCTAGTCCGTATATTTCCCAAACTCGACGGGTTATTTTATAGGCCAAACTACGGACTTTTTGTAAAATAACGGACCTGCAGTCATAGTTTTGCGACATCCCCTACAAATAGTATAATCAATGGCGTGGCAAACCATTTTCCCGACTGAGTCTCCAAATGATAAAAAATTGTGAAATGAAGGTCCGAATTTTCACTGTCCGTCTCTCTGGATAGCACCCCAAAATAAACCGTTTGAATCATTAAGACATACGATATAGATTTTTTTTTTTTCAGTTAAAGTGATCCTCCAGTGGATTTTATACGTAGGTATACCTTTACGCCGACACTTCCCAAACTCCTTCCTTGTATATTCTTATATTATTTATAATATCATATTTTATTAAATATCTTGGTCATGTATTTTATATTATTATATTTTGTATATTTGTTATGGCGATTTGTGTCTCGGTCATGAAATGTTCATTATTATAACTTATTTGTATTTTATTATATTGACCCTTATATTTTCTCTCTTTTGATATTATCACCGAAGTTTTATACCATTCAGTTTTTTTCTTCGGTATTAAATTAAACTTAATTTTTCTTCCCTTTAAATAATATAAAGACAAAACAAAAATAATAAAACTCTTTTCTTTACCCCAAAAACCAATGGTTATTTTTTATTTATTATACCTATTTTCTCCTAATTGCTATCTATGCATCCTTGTCTAGGATTATGATGTGTAGGATAAAATCTTACAGCTCCGACAGAAATGTCTCGGCTGTAAGTCAGCAGGTTGGCGTGCCTGTCGACGTACGCTCGTCCTCGTGGAGCCCATTACTACGGCGCCACCATGCGATAAGTATTCCCTAAGAACCATCTAACGAACGAAGCGGGGCCGAGACGTCACAAGTTTTTATTTTAATCTTTACACTTTTATCTTTTATATTGTTTCGCTGAAAAATATTAATATAAATGATATAATAATAATATAATGCTATAATGATATGAGAATTTCCAAACATTCAACTTTTACTGATTTTGGCAATATTACACGAGGCAAATAAAAATATATTATAGAACAACAATGGGGAAAAACCATTTAAACGGGTTAGCTTTACTTAATATCCATAAACACCAAAATATTGAAATTACAAATTAAACTGTTTAACTTCTATTTCATATTGTGATACTACAAAAAAAAAAATATTATACAATCGACTATCGAGATGGTCCCCACACACTGCCGCGGTGGCGGTGGCGTTAAATTTGTACACACGTATTGTAATGGGATACTCAATTATTATATGTAATATCATTGATTATAAATAGAGACCGGAATTATATGCACTA